TCACCAATGGATAGGCCAGGATGTTCTCTGATTTTGGGGCGATATTCAGAACAGAACAAGAAAAAGGCCGAAGGAGGCCTCTTGGGTGCATTGGGATCTTTGAACTTTTTTGTTTCCCCTTTAGGAGGGATATAGGTTTTCATTTCTCTTTCATAAAGGGCCTTATCCACCTTTGCCATATCTTCAAACTTCCCTTTCTCTTTAGCAGACATGGTCTTCCAGCTCTCTGAGCACTTCTTAGAAAACTCTGAGAAGTTGACTGAAGCATCTGGGTGCATCTTCTTGTGCTCCTCCCGGCAAGTTTGCACAAAGAATGCATATGATGACATTTTGCCTCTTGGCTTAAAAATATGGAACACTTAACAAATTTCATGTTATTCTTGAGCAAGGGCCATGCTAATCTTCTCTGTATCGTTCCAATTTTAGTATATGTGCTGCCGAAGCGAGCACTATTATTATTTTTAAATTTGCTATAGGTCACATATGCTCACCAGAGAAAGTGAGAACACAGCTTGCAGGATCCAGACTCGAACTGTGGTCGGCTATGTGGGAGTCCAGTGCCTTAACCACCATGCTACCTACTGTTCCCTATAGTGCTTCTTTCAACAGCTGTACAGTATTGCATTGACTAGGTGTAGCATAATTCATCAGTTATGTATTGATAAAGTAGTTACAGTTTGATTTAGAAATGCTACATTAAAAAAATCTTTTCTTTTTTAATTTAAAGAAATTTAAAGAGACATACATGCTCCCAACGGGGTCTTCATACTGCAACCCACCCCAGCTCTTACTAGCCCCTGGATCATAGGCACAGGCACATGTGCCCCTAATGAGTACAAGGAGGTCTCAGGATGCAAACCTGGGACACCTCCATGTGGGTCCAGTTGTTTCACCGTTGTATTACCATCTGGCCCTACATTTGTTAAGTCTTATGTATAATCTCTCACATATATATAGGATTCATTTCTAGAGGAGGAATCATAAGGCCAACAGATATATGCTAAATTACGGTATGTTGAGGCCAGCAGGTAGTGTAGTGGTTAAGACGCTGGACTTTCATGTGGTTGAACATGATTTGATCCCGACCCAGAGCCTTGCCAGGCGCATGTGCCTGTGTGCTCAAAATCCCGAGAGGAGAATGGAGAAGGGATTGCAGTGTGGCTATCTCTCCTCGGGGGGGATGATTTCTTACTTTCTGTTTCTGTCTCTCCAGCAAGTGAATACTCCTTGTAGCAAAAAATCTCTCTAAAAATAAAACCCCCAAAAACAAAAACAAGAAAAAAAATCATCTATTGAAAAATTGCTCTCTATAGAGGTTCTATCTATATTGTTCTAAGAATGTAAATATTGTGTGAGACGGTAAAGTCAGTGCAGCCACAGGAGAAAGCAAGGATGAGGCCTGTAAGTAGTAGTATATGATATTCACAGGTCCTAGAGATGGGTTACCACGTCATGAGGGGCTACAGGAGAAGTGCCAGGGTTTGGTTAGGTGGCGGAAGGCAGGATCGAGGGGAATGTCAAGACCAGAGCCTTCAGTGGGGTTTCCATGAGAAAGTCAAGGCAGGGCAAGGCAAATGGTTTAGGGCTTGGCTGAATAACTCTGTCAGGCTTTAAGGTATAGGAAGTCACCTGGTACCTGGCCCTGGCATGATTTAGAAGGGAAATATTGGCTAGGGATTGGTTGGTTTATATATGAGAGTGCTCCAATCACCACTTTGCTATTACTAAGAAAGGGTTAGCCCAGGAAGACAGTCTCTCCATAGCCAGCTACCTTTTTAAGATATCAAAACATAAAATACAGGGACCAGCAGTTAGCGTAATGGCTATGTCGCTGGACTCCCATGTAGTTGACTGTGGTTTGCATCCTGGACTCAGTGGCTTAAAACTCACGCCAGGTGCGTGTGCGTGCATGCCCAAAATCCCGAGAGGGGAATGGAGAAGGGATTGCGGTGTGGCCATGCCCCCCCTAGGGGATGACTTTTCGCTTTCTGTCTCTCTGCTCTTTCTGGTGAGCGCATGCCCCCTATAGCAAAAACCTCTCAAAAAAACCCCAAAAAACAAAAAAACATAAAATACAGAAAATAAGAGAACACAGTTAACACATATACTGTCACTCAGTGTATAAAGATAAGCCATTTTCCCACACCTTCAAAATTATCACACTATCTGGCCTTTGCTATTCTGATAAATGACAATTGACACATGTACAACAAACATTAAGTGCTTATGATGTGACAGGCAATATTTTATATGTTGGAACAAAATAAAGCTCTTGCCCTCAGGGCAAGCCCTAGAACCTATATGGAGAAAGTTATAAAACCTTACAAAAACTTAAAAGAACTGGTCATATGAAGATACACATTAGTGGATTAGAAGAATAAATATGAGAGGTGGCAACTATTACCAACTCAATAGGTATCATACAGAATTACAAGGTTTTGTTTTTGAGAACAGGTGAGATGACTTGACATAATGTTTTCTGAAATAAGGAACAGATATGAAGTATGAATACCTTGAAAAAGAAAGGTAGTATAAAAATATCTGCTCTACCAGGAGTTAAAACATACTATGAAAACACAATTGGTAATTCAGTGAGGAATAGCACAATATGACACCCAGAAACAAATTCTAGTTATATATGATGTGCCTGCTTGTGTGTAAGCAAGTATGACATAATTTTAATTATTATAGTTTTATTTTTTCCAAGGAGTTTGCCATAGGGCACATGTGCTTGCTGCAAATAGACAGTGGAAGGGAAAAAAATCATTCCTCAGTGGGGAGGGCCATTCTGTAATCCCTTTTCCTTCACTCTCCTCAGGATTTTGGGCATGCATGCAGCACATGCCCCAGTATGATTTTCAAGCTGCCAGATCCAGGACTTCAGCCACAGGTGGCCATGTGGGAGTGCAGTGCCTTAACCACCACATCACCTGCAGGTCCCGTTATTATAGTTTTTAAATAAGTATCTAGTACGTTGTTTCCCCTAGTACAGTTCTCAGATTTTGTAATAAAAATATATTACTTTTTTATAATCTCCTACCAATACTACACATGACTAAATATATAATAAAATATAAAGGTAAAAGAAGTGATCATGATTGCAAACAGTTCTGAGTTAAAGCTGACATATTAGTCTTTCAAGGAAAACAGAGTAGTATTTTTCATGATTTACTAAAATTTTGGTGTCTGTTAAAAACCGGATTTGATGGAAGACACCGCCATATGGCAAGAAAACACCAGATTTGGTGGAATAAAGAAATACTTACCTTGTAACTTTTTGAGAATACTTGTCTGATTTAAATTAAAAAGAGAAATACTTCATACAATTGAGGTACTTAAAAAAATTTTTATTTAAATTCAGATTTTCACCATGTGTTGCTTCCACCACACTGGCTGTTTTTTTATTACCGTCTTGCTATGTTGCCCTGGCCACCTCTGAGTTCACAGTCCTTCTGCTTCAGCCTTCCCTAGGTGCAGAGATTACACATGCATGCCCAGCCTTTTGGTTGGACTGGTAATCAAATCCACGCCTGCCATATGGTCCCAGCTTGTAAAGCATAGCATCTTAGCAGTGCATGCCACCCCAGCTGGGCCAGTTAGGTGTGGTTTTAAAAATGTCTCCGATTTTGTATATTGTTAGTAAAGTATAGAAGTCTTTTATTAATAACTTGCACCTAAATGAATTGATCAGTTAGATGATTAAATAAGCTAGCAAGAATTAAAAATTATCTTTTTTTTCTCTTTAATTTGGTGTACGGCAGATGCACTTGCTGGAGAAAGGCAGAGAGGTAAAGTGATAAAGCATCCCCTAGAAGGGATGGCCACAATGCATTCTCCATTCTCTTGTCAGGATTTTGGACATGCATGCACACATGCCTGGCATGTTTTTCAAGTCACTGGGTCCAGGACTTGAACCACACAGTTAGTGGGATCCAGCTGTCTACACCACCATACCACTGGCTGGCCCTGTACTTTTCATAACAGAGAGAAAAGTCTAGGTTTTTATATTCATGAAATATCCAAATAAGTAAACTGAACAAATACAAAGAGAAATCTCCAGGTATTGTCTCACCAATGGTATAGAAGAAAAAAAAACAGTACTTACTCTTTCATGAAGTTTTTAATAAGCTATCATTTTCTTATATGTACACTAGTAATCTTAAAAAGACAATTACTGCCAAAAGTTAAATACTTACAATTTATAAAAAAATATAATTTAAAAAATTTGTAAAATAAGGGGAGGTACCTACTTCCAATGGATTAAATAAGAACATTCCACTTTTAAGGTCGTTAACCAGAAAACAGGAAATTTCTAATTTGTCTAAGTGAACACTAAAAACTCATGGAAGCAGAGACCTTACTGTTTTAGTTCAAGCTTCCTTCTACATAACTTTAAATAAACCTTAAAAAATATTTTCCAGTACATATAAGGTTGCTAAAAAGAGTGCCTGACTAGGGGGAAAAAGGACTATGCTAGAATGTGAACTACGTACTGATGAATAGGAATATGGTTCATTCATCCTATTCATGTCCCCGGGGTTTCCAGCATAAATTTAGCCTGGCTCAAAGTAAAATGCTCAAGGAACATTTACTGCTTTCAACTGAACTGGGACAAATGCACACTTCTACCTTTGGTCCAGTTTTCACTCTATATAAAGCACTGTATTTGAAGTACCTGAGCTGTTCCTGGTCTTGACCTTTGACCTTAAATTGAGTAAGGTAAGCCAATAGGCATACACTTCTGCACCAACCTTCTTATAAGATACACAGAAATGTGTTGTCACTGGGCTGTGATTCTAGTCTTACGTGATCTGATTCCTGTTTCTTGGATAGGTTAGTATCAATGCACACAAGTACTTGCATTTATTCTTTTATTTTTAAAAAATTTGCCAGAGGACATGTACCCTTGTTAGAGAGAGAGGGAAAGTTAGAAAGCACCCCTCCACTGGGGATGGTGACACTGCAATCCCTTCTCTACCTCTGTGGGGATTTTGAGCATACATACATATGTACCTGGCATGTTTCTTAAGCAGAAGGGTCTAGCACTCAAACTGCATGGTTGGCCATGTGGGATTCAGTCACCCTAACCACTAGGTCACAGGCTGGCGCTGTAACTGCATTTTCAATGCAGGATAAGTATATTCGTATTAGTAAGATGGAACAAAGGCCTTATTTTTCTAAATTTTAAATAACAGATACATAGCATCTTAAATTATGACATCATCAGCAATTTTAGACATGAACATAATACACTGTATTACACTGCAATGTGGTAGGCTTCCATTTTAGGAGCTGAAATAAATTTCACATGAAAAAAGATTTATTTTAATTCACATAAAATACATTTAGAATAAGTCTAGATTTTCACCATCAAAGTACTTAGAAATAAACACAGAGGAGCTTTAAGATGTGTAAGTCTCCATTCTGTCCAAAAAGCATTTATAAAAAGTTTTTTTTTTTTTACAATTACTGATCGTCACCTCGTTGCCTTAAATTTCTAGGTTTTCCATTTTCAATTCTTCTCTTTTTGAAAACTGAGGCCACTCCATCTGCCACAACTCCAAGAGAAGTAACTGTTTTTTCTTTAAATACCACTTTGGGTTCCCCACCAACATCAGCTTCTGAAGTTGGTACATACTCATTTTCAGTACTTGGAAGTTCCAGATCTACATCCTCACTGTAACAAAAAGTAAAAATAAAACCATTATTTGAGAGATAAAGACAAACTGTTTTTTTTTCCATTTATTTTTATTATCATCATAATCTTCTTTATATTACATTGGATTACATATAACTTTACAGTGTATTACATTGCTTTTTCAAAAGGGAATGCCATGCATGTCAGTCAATACAGAGACATTAATCTCCCCGCTTCAACATTCAATATCTTTTCTATGATTTTCCCAATTATTATTATTATTCTAATTATTTTTTAAAACAGTCAATCACTATTTCTCATTTTGCTTGTAAAAAGACTTTACCCATCATGAAATACTTCTCAGACCAATCCAGTTGAGAATACTATACATGTCATCACCAACAGGTAATAAGCCATATCCGTCCTGCCTCTCTATTGTTCTCTTGCTATCTTTCTCTATCCTCTTCTCTTCACCTCCCCCATTCCACACTGTCCTATTCTCGTTAAGTACCTTCACTGCTTTTATGTCCTCCAATTTTTTGCTCTCTACCATAGAGTGCGGATAGTCGGTATATATTGAGTGGATACATACAATATCTTTCTTTCATAGCCTGGCTTACTTCACTCAGCAATAGATCCTCCATATCTGACCTCTTTCTATCAAATGCCAGGGTCTTGTTATTTTTTTATGGCTGAGTAGTATTCCATAGAATATATATACCACACTTTTCCAATCCATTCATCGGTTTGTGGACATTTAGGTTGGTTCCATGTCTTGGCAATTGTAAATAATGCTGCAATAAACAATGATGTGCAAGCACTTTTCTGACTGAGCATTCTCCTGTCTTTTGGGTAAATACCCAGAAGTGGGATTGCTGGATCAAATGGCAGGTGTATTTGTAGATCTTTGAGGAACCTCCATACTGTTCTCCACAGTGGTTGAACTAGTTTACATTCCCACCAACAGTGTAGGAGGGTTCCCTTTTCACCACATCCCCGCCAACACTTATCACTTTTTATATTCTTAATCTTTGCCATTCTGACAGGGGTTAGGTGGTATCTCATTGTGGTTTTTATCTGCATTTCCCTTATGATGAGGGATGTCGAGCATTTCCTCATATGCTTTTTGGCTGTTCGTATGTCTTCCTTAGAGAGACTTTTGTTCAGCTCACTTTCCCATCTTTTAATCGGGTTAATCATTTTTTTTCGCATAAGGCACTTGAGTTCCCTATGTATTCTCGTTATCAGTCCCTTGTCTGAGGCATATTTAACAAAAATATTTTCCCATTCTGAGGGTTGTCGGTTCACACTTGTTACTGTGTCCTTTGCTGTGCAGAAACTTCTTAGTCTAATATAGTCCCACTTGTCTATTTTAGGGATTATTGCCTGTGCTTTGGGAGTCTTATTTAAGAAGTCTTTGCCTACTCCAATGTCTCCCAGAGTTTCCCCAGCATTTTCCACAAGTAGTTTTATTGTCTGAGGTCTTAGGTTCAGATCTTTGATCCATTTTGAGTTGACTGTTGTTAATGGTGAAAGATGGGGGTTCAGTTTCATCTTTCTGCAGGTGGATACCCAGTTTTTCCAGCACCATTTACTAAAGAGGTTTTCCTTTTCCCAATGGATTGACTGATATCCTTTGTCAAAGATCAGTTGGCTATAAGCTTTGGGAGTTATTTCTGGGGTCTCTATTCTCTTCCATTGGTCCACATGTCTGTTTTTATGCCAATACCATTTTTTTTTTAAAGAGAGATTTTTGCTATAGGGTGTGTGTGCTCACTGGAGAAAGATAGACAGACAGACAGACAGAAAGACAGAATGCAAGAAATCATCCCCCAGGGCGATGGCCACACTGCAATCCCTTGTCTTCTGTTCTCTCAGGATCTTGGGTAGGCATGCATATGTGCATCCACCCTGGCATGAGTTTCAAGTCACCAAGTCCGGGACTTGAACTGTGGTCAACTACATGGGAGCCTGACAATGTAAGCATTATATCATATGCTGGTGCCAAAGACAAATATTTTTGTATAACCTGTGAGCCCACCAAAGCTCCAATAGTATTTTTCTAATGATAATAGTGAGAAGTTAGCAGTTGGTCATTTTGGAATAGGAAACTATGTTAAAATACTGATTTTTATGATATGATTTAAACACTGAGCACTTATTTTAGGTAGTCACATATTAGGAAAAGTTCCATCTAATTTTTTTATTCCTGTTGCACAAAGGATACATCACCTAATGAAATGCTTGTGTATATAAGTAGTACAAACGATAAGGGAAAGATACTTGTGGAAAGGGATTGTGCCATAGACAGGGACTCTGCAGGTTTACAAAACAGATGATGAAAACCATGAGACCTCAATGTCCTATTGTAAGACCCCATACAGCTGTCTGCTTAGTAATCCCCTTCAGCTATCCACATGGTTAAGTTATAAATAACTGGCTGGTCCTGAGACTAGTACCTGATTAACAGCCTCTCTTAGTACCCTATTCCCTCAGCAGTCAGCTGGTAGTTGAAAGAGCTGGTAAGTCACATCATACCTACCAGTCCCACCCGAAAGGTTTTGAACATGGATGGAAAGTTCATTATATTTAACTTTCTCCAGTAGCTGAGAATATAAAAACTCTTGGGAACCGCACATCCTATTTGGACAAAGGTGTTTGACAAATAGGAGATGAAGCATCTGATAATGTTTGGCAAACAGATGCCTTCTAGAATTCATCCTAATTGTGTTAAAAAATGTATTAGGCCCAGCCATGATGGCCATATGGTAAGATGCTGTATTCTATATGCCGCGACCATATGTGAGGACTGGGTTAGATTCCTGACCCAACCTAAACGCCAAGTGTGATGGCAAGTGCCTGTAACTCCAGTGACTCAGGGATGCTGAGACAGAAAGATCTCAAGCTTGAACCTGGCTTAGGTAACACAGTAAGATCCTACCTAAAGAAAAAGCCAGTGTGATGGTCTGTGCCTACAGTCCCATCTCGGAGGCTGAGACAAGAGTACTGAGACGTAGCAAGATCCTGTCTTAAAACAACCACCAAAAAACCCATTAAATATTATTTTCGTTTGCTTTTCCTACTTCCCTATTTTCTCTTAGACGGCAAACAATGGTGTTTTTCTTTTTAAAAACTGATTAGAGGGCATGTGTGTTCAACAGAAAGGGAGAAAGCATGTCCCAATGGAACATGGTCATGCTGCAATCCCTTCTCCATTTCTCAACCATGTCAGGACTTTGAGCATGAACATGCCGGGCAAGTTTCACAAGCCACCAGAGGTCATGGACTTGAACTGTGCAGTTGGCCATGTGGGATCCAGCTGTCTTAACTACCAAATCAATGACTGGTCTGAGCTGATAAAGTATTAATTCTTGACTTTTTATTCTTACTTTACATGAGAGGAAACTGAGGCTGAGAGAGAGATTACTTAGTCAAACCAAACTGTTATGTAAGTGATAGGGCTTGATTTAAAACACAGGTCTGTTGGACCTCAAACTTACATTCTTTCCCACTCTGTTCCCAGGTGAAACTTAAGAAATCCCATTAGCCAAGCAAAGAAAGTAATAAAGAGCAGTGATTTTTGTTGTTGTTTTTCTTTTTTTAAAGAGAGTTTTGCTATACGGTGTGTGCACTCGCCGGAGAGACAGAGATAGCGAGAAATCACCACCTAGGCGGAACAGCCATGCCACAATCCCTTCTCCTCCATTCTCCTCTCAGGATTTTGGGCACATATGCACATGCTCCTGGCGTGGGTTTTAAGTCACCAGGTCCAGGACTCGAACTGCAGCTGACTACGTGGGAGTCTAGCGACATAATCATTATGCCATCTGCTGGTTTCAAAGAGCAGTGTTTTGATTATTTTGACCAGTTCTAGAAATTTCTATGTAAGACTCATTTATTTCACTGAATTTTGGTTGCTTTGTCTCATATTTTGATGGTGACCAAGCCACAGCATTATCAAATGAAGTTATGTTAATGATACAATAAAAAAGGCTTCCATTTTTGAAATCACGGTCTTAGAAGTTCCTTACTAAAGGTTAACAAAAGTGGTAGTAGGAGATACCCTTGACACATAATCAGAAGAAAAGAAACCTGTATTTGGGGAAAAAAAAAAAAAAAAAAGATGAGAGCCTACAGGTATATTACAGAGGGACCAGCAGTTGCTGTAATGGCTATGTTGCTAGACTCCCATGTAGTCGATTGTGGTTCAAGTCCCAGACCCAGTGGCTTAAACTCACACCGAGTGCGTGTGTGTGAGTGCCCAAGATCCCAAGAGGAGAATGGAGGAGAAGGGATTACAGAGTGGCCATCCCCTCAGTGGGTGATTTCTCATTTTCTGTCTATCTCTCTCTGTCTTTCTGGTGAGCACATGCGCCCTATCTCAAAAAAAAACAAAAAAAAGAAAAGAAAAGGAAAAAAACCCGTAAGTATATTACAGAAAATATGCCTTCTTTTCAAAACAGTTACAGAAAAATACTAAGTACTCCACAAAACCAATAGGTGGAGAGTGCCTGAGAAGAAAGGGTCAATGCAGAAGAAAGCAGAGCTTTTTGAAAGTCAGAGATACAGTATTCAGAGGATTTTACTGAAGTTCTGGGATCCAGCCATGTTTGAAGTCACTGCACCTCTATACATAACAGAATTTCTGTCATGTGCAAATGAAAAAGTGCACTGGAGTGGACTACATATTAAACTGGCTGCCTAGGTTAGACTGAACAAAAATGGATTCACTGAACATTCATCACAAGGACAGCAGAATATTCTTGATACATTTAAGAAATCGTAGATTTTTTTTAGTCAGGGTCTCCCTAGGTTATGATCCTCCTGCCTCAGCCTCATGAGTAGCTGGACCTACAGGCATATGCCACAGCACCTGGCTTTTAAGGTGGGGCGGAAATTAGCTTTAGCTTGCTAAACAGCATCAACCAGTATGTGCTGGGTTGGGATCTAAACTGCAGTTGTCCATGTGGGATCTGACTCTTGCTGGCCCCAAGCTGGCCCCAAGCTGGCCCCCTATTTTAATTATTTTAAAAAGCAAGCTCACAGGCTTAGCAGGTGGTATGGGGTTAAGGCATTAGATTTCCACATGTCCCACCACAGTTTAAATCTTGGACCTGGTGGCTTGAAAATCATGGTGGGCACATGTGCATGTATGCCCCAAATCCCAGGAGGATGGAGAAGGGACTCTGGTGTGGTCATCTCCCCTAGGGAGTGCCTTCTCATTTCTCCTCTCCCTCTTTTTCTCTCTTCCTGGGCAAGCACATATACCCTGTAGCAAACTGAAAAGAATAAAATTATATAAATTTAAAAATAATTAGAAAAAATAAGACCAGTCTGGAAATGAGATACTTTTTATACGAGTATACCATCCCTAAAATGAGTTACTACAATTTATGAAGGTACTGGCATGTAAAATACTTATAATAACAGTGGGATTAAAGTTTTAGGTACTTACTGAGACTCAACTTCTTCTTTAATTTCTTGCCATGCTCCATATGGGTTTGGTTTTTTAAGAGTTCTGGATTTTTCTTTATTTAGACCTGATGAATTCTTTTTTGGAATACTTTTTTCTTTCTGTGTTTCTGAGTCAGTTCTTTCATCACTATTTTTGCTTTTCACCTGAAATGGAAAAGTCAAGAGAAAATAAACTTCCAAGTAAAATTACCAAGACAAAACCAAAATTTCTTTTTTTCTTAATTGCCAGAGGGCAGGTGCATTTATCAGTGAGATAGAGCGAGGGAGCAAGCATCCCCTGACCAGGTATGGTCATACCTCAATCCCTTTTTCTTCGTATTTCATCCTGTTGGGATTTTGGGTACACACACACATGCCTGGTATGTTTTTCAAGTTCCTGTGTCCAATATTTGAACTGCAGGCAGCCATGAGGGATCTGGCTTCCTTAACCGTAGGCTATGGGATTAGCCCCCCACAAAAATTTAAGTAGGTCTTTGAAAATCTTGTTGATTTACTTTTATATATATATAAATATATAAATTCACTTCATACATTAAATTCTGGCACACAAGTACATAGAATAATGATTAATGCTTCATTAGGTTTTTCATTATGTCTAAAATGGTACTATATCATGACCAGGATTGACTTTCAAAGTAAGATACTGTTAATGTCATGAGTTTTACAAAAATGGGTCTCTTTTACTCTCTCGTTTGCTTTCACATCTTACTTTTTTATCCTATAGTGACCCACACCCCCATTATATTGTGCTTTTTAATCTATGCCGTATCATGAGATTCTTATATGTCCATTATCTACTTAAAGAACTCCTTCAACTTGTAAGTCTCAACTGAAATCTGTTTTTTGTTTTTTTTTTGGTAGAGGTTTTCACTACAGGGCGTGGGCGCTCACCAGACAGAGGGAGACAAAGAGACAGAAAGCAAGAAATCACTCCCCAGGAGGGATTGGTCACGCTGCAATCCCTTCTCCTACATTCTCCTCTTGGGATCTTAGGCATGCACGCACATGCGCCCGGCGTGAGTTTTAAGCCACTGGGTCCAGGACACGAACCGCAGTCGACTATGTCGGAGTCCAGCGACATAGCTATTATGCTAACTGCTGGTCCCCGATCTGTTTTGGTTTTTGATGTCAGGACACTGCCACAGCCTCACTGGGCTATGTAACTAGTGACTTTGTACAAATTAGAAAGGCATCCTGCTAGGACAGAGCAGTTATCATGGGAGCTCCTAGATGGGGCTTATGGCTTTATGGTGCCCCGTGATATAATAGTCTTGTGACTCAATTTTCTGAGTGTACTATGTGCTAGATTTTAGGTTCTTTAGAAATTGTATAATTATGGGTAGCCAATCCAGGACACTGTTCTTGATTCATTCCCTCCTGTGGTTAGTACCATAGGACAGGAAGGCAGTACCCACTTTGCTCTTAGCAATCTAACTGCTTTCAGGCCATAGCTCTTTTTTTGTTTGTTTGTTTTTAAATGAAGAGGGGGAGGGAGACAAAATTTTTTTTTTTTTGAGAGGTTTTTGCTATAGGGCACGTGCACTCGCCAGACAGAGACAGACAGAGAGATAGAAAGTGAGAAATCCCCCCCCCAGGGGGGATGGCCACGCCACAATCCCTTCTCCTCCATTCTCCTCTCGGGATCTTGGGCACACATGCACACGTGCCCGGTGTGAGTTTAAGCCACCGGGTCCGGGACTCGAACCGCGGTCGACTACGTGGGAGTCCAGTGACATAGTCATTACGCTAACTGCTGGTCCCAGGAGACAAATATTTTCAATGGTCTTGCCATGCCATGATCTTTGTGCTCCAGCCTCCCAGTTAGCTAGGATTATAGGTGGATATGACTACACTTGATCTGTTTAGTTGGTCCAGGAGCCTTACCTAGGTCTCTCATGTGTTCTAACCTTGTGTGGCTGCTCCCGACCACTTGGCCACAACTTCTTTAACGAAACGTTCTTATAGCAGTATAATCTTTTTTCTTTATGCTTTGATCCTCTGGCAGTAAAAGTCTCTTCCTCTTGGCTCACACCATCTTCTATGTACTCTTCTCTTCCATTCTTTTTTAGATGATTTAGTGACCTCTGGCCAGCACTCTGTATTAGGTGATGACTCTGGAAACCTTGGCACCATTTTCCCTCTATTCAAACTCCTGCTAGGGATCTTAAAAATCCTTTTGGCCTTGGGCCAGCAGATGGCATAGTGGCGAAGGCACTGGACTCCCTTATGACTGAGCATGGTTCAAGTCCTGGAGCTGGCAGCTTGAAAATCAGCCAGGTGCATATGTGTGCATGCCCAGAATTCCAAGAAAATGGAGAATTAAGAACTAATATCTAGCCACCCTTTGATTATCTAACTTCTCAATATCTAATTTTTCATTTCATAGTCAAAGTTAGATAGCTTTTATTTTTAATGAAGAGATGGAGGGAGACGAATGTTTTCAATGGTCTTGCCATGCCATGATCTTTGTGCCACAAAGTTATCTAACTTTTCATTTCATATTCAAACCACATATACACTGGAATGACTTTTCAGCTCCCTGTAATCTGAATTCTGCCATTTAAAACTTTGATGAAACTTCTGGAAGAGTATCAAGGACTTTCTAACCATCAAATGCAACAGACATTTTCCCTTTTCTAGATCTAATTAATCCTTCATACACTGTTTGGCTTCTAGAACACTGAATTCTTCTTCTTTGCATCTCTCTAATTATTCTTCCTCATTATACCTTGTGGACTCCTTTCTCTGCATGTCACTTAAATGTCATATGTTTCATGTTCTCTAAGGCCATTTTCCTATTATCTCACATTCTGAGATTTAAAGTTATACCAGTACACTAATGATACTAAAACTAGTATTCCTTGCCTGGAAATTCAGACAGGCCTATTCAGACCACCCTCTATGATAGAGGCCTCTCAAGCATAGAAAGTTTAAAATGAACTCAGTAACTCTGGCTCTGTGGCCTGGGGGCTAAGGCTAGATTCCACATGGCTGATTTAATGATTTAAGTCCCCGGCCTGATGGCTTGAAAAATATGCAGGGAACATCAGTATGTGTGCCCAAAATCCTAGAGAGAGGGAGAGAGAGAAGAGATGGGGTTATATAATGAGTGTTCGCCATGGTGGGATGCCTTTTCCTCTCCCTCTCTTGGTCTCTCTCTGGCAAGCACACATGCCCTCTAATGCACACACATCCATACACACAGAATTAAATGAGCTAGAGTCTTGCTCTTAAATAGGTATCAGTAAATAGTACAACTATTCAGTTGCCAAAAATCTGTTTCTTGGCTTTGGCTTCATTTCTGTATTCTACTAGAAGCTAAAGGTCTGTGGAAGTTTTTATAAACTGATAAACTTTTGTGAAGAGTAAATCGAGAACCTACCTTAAACTTTATTTTTGGTCTTTTTGTTTCTGTAGAGACTTCCTCTTCTGCTTCCTTTTCCCTATCGGAATCACTATGTGAATCTGATGATTTGGACTCTTCTACAGTAGGAAGAAATTTACCAGCCTTACTGGAAAGCACATCACCAGTGCGTGGAATGAAATCATCAGGTTTCTCCCATCTGGATTCTGCTCAATACATTTTAATAATCATATTATTTAGTTTCAAGTTCTGTTCAGATGTTTTTCCAACATAACACTTCCTAGGCACTTGCAATTATTAAATGACAATATTTTATCTATTTACACTATCACTTCATCAAGACAATAACAACAGTTTTAAACCCATTTGCTCTTATATTGTCTAGAAACTGATTTTAAACAACCTGGATTTATTACATTTACAAACTACCTACATTCGAAATAGAGACCTTAGAAGTGGGTGATGCTGGGACCAGCAGTTGGCGCAATAGCTATGTTGCAGGACTCCCATGTAACTGACTGCGATTCAAGTCCCAGAACCGGTGGCTTACACTCACTCTGGGCGCATGTACATGCCTGCACAAGATCCTGAGAGGAGAATGGAGGAGAAGGGACTGCAGTGTGGCCATCCCCTGGGGGTAATTTTTTGTTCTCTGTCTCTCTGTATCTCTCTGTCTTTCTGGCAAGTGTATGTGCCTTATAGCAAAAATCTCTCCAAAAAAAAAAAGAGAAAAAAAAAGAAGTGGGTAATGCTTTCTAAAGACTCTCACGCTTTACCTGATAGTAATTTCAGGAAACACTGATAATGAACATACATAAAATTTTCTGGAATTTGAAAAGTGATATATTGTGAAGATCTGAATTAATACAATGTCATTTTTATACTGGGGTTATATGAGTGGATCTCAACTGACTGAACTCTACTGCCATCCAGTGGTTCACTGGACTTAGAGCAAAATGATAGCATTTCTAATTATCTTGTAGTTATTTTCCACTTTAGGTTTAATAAAAGAGAGAGAGGCCAGCCTGTGGCCTGATGGTTAAGGCAGCTGGGTCTCACATGGTGAGCCACACAGGTCAAGTCCTAGATCCCGTGGCTTTAGAAACACACCCAGCACATGTGTGTATGCCCAAGATCCAAAAAGGAGGGAGGGATGGAGGAGAAGGAATTACAGTGTGACCATGCCTCACGGGTTCTTGCTTTCCCTCTGTTCCTCTCCTGTGAACACATGTGCCCTTTGGCAAAACTAAATTTAAAAAAAAAAGAAAAAAGAGGAAATAAAAAAGACGGTATACTTTATTGTTCAACTGGGACAATTTTAAGGGTGAAAGGGGCTGTTATTATAAATTATAGTGGTCTAGGTATAAACTAAAATCACTTGTGGCAAATTAATATGTATAGCCCCTTAAGACTTTTCAGCACTAATGAAAACATTATTTTTCCTTATCTGTATTTCACACAACTAATGAGTTTTCAAGAAATAATTTATTAAGCACCTCTTATGTGTCAGGCATGGTTTTGGGAACTTACGGACATCTGACCCTCATGATCCTACAGAGTACATATGATCATCTCTATTTACTCAAGAGTGACCTCAGGCTTAATGACTTCCCATAATTATTACATCACTGGATAAGGAATGAAGCTATGCACTGAGCTCAGATCTGTCTTTAAAGCTATATTATGTGGCTATATTATTTTATCTTTATAAAGATTCAGAACTTCAATTTTAGTCTGATATAAACATTATCACTGGCAGGCTAGGTATCTGCCTGGAGGTTAAAAAGGCATTTCCTTCCTAAAAGATCTAATGCTATTTAGTAGGCTTAGATAGTAGGAAAAATAGAAAAACAAAACAAAAACCACACAAATGGGGAAAAAAAAATCTGCCTTTATCAAAGTTACACAAAACTAGGCCAGGTGTGGTGATGTAGTGGTAGTGCAACTGGACACAATGGCAAGGTCCTAGCTTTGTGTCCCATGGTCCTTGGATGTGCATGCCATGATCTGAGTTGGCCAGGACTGGGGATGTTTTGCAGCATGAAGACCCTGTTGGAGGTAATTGTCTTTCTCTCTCAATAAATAAACAAAAAAAATTTTAAAAGGTTATACTAATAGGCTATTCTGGTAAGTTTAACTGCAATAGAAACCAATGATACTACTTGAAGACAAGTTTTATGAATTTTAGTTCTTAAGCATTAATTAAAAATTTTAAGATAATTAGACAGCAGGGCCAGCAGGTAGCATGGTGGTTAGGGGGGCTGGACTCCAACATGGTTGAATGCATTTCGAGTCCTGGACCTGGCTGCTTGGCTTCTTATTCTCTCTCTCTCACTCTGTCTTTCTCTGGTCAAATTTAAACAAACAAACAAACAAATAAATAAATAAATAAATGGATAAATAAAAAAGTTAAGTAATTCTTTAACAAATATAATTACAGCAATTATGCATGGCTTGCAAATATTTAAATAACTAAGACATTATACTTAGTAAAGGTGAAAATTTGAGATTTTCAGTTACTGATAAAATAGCTTCAGTATTTTTTAAAAAGAATGATTTTATTTAGTTTTATTTATTTATTTACTTAATTTTTTTTCTGTTTGTTTGTTTGTTTCCAAACTGCCAGAGGTTGTGAGTACTTGTCAAAGAGAGACAGAGAAAGAGCAAGAAAGTGAGTGAGAGAGAGAGAAAGCCACCAGGTCCAGGACTTGAAAAGCAGTCAGCCATGTGGGAGTCCAGAGCCCTTAACCACCACGCCACCTGCTAGCCCAGCTTTGCTATATTTTAAAGAATCATTATCTTATTTTATTTAAAATTTGTTATAGGACACTCAGCAAAGAGCGAGAGAAAGTGAGAAAGCAAGCCACTAGGTCTGGAACTTGAACTGCGGCTGGCCACGTTTTGAGTCCAGTGCCTTAACCACCATATCACCTGTTAGCCTCTTCAGTTCTTTTTTTAGAATTATTTTATTAACTTTATTTATTTATTTAAATTCCATCAGAAACGGACAGAGAATGAGAGAGAGAAAGTGAGAAAGCAAGCCACCAGGTCCAGGACCTGAACTGTGGTTGGCCATGTGGGAGTTCAATGCCATTATCTACCACACTACCTGCCACCAGCCCCCAGTTTTATTTTTATTTATTTATTTTTAAGGGATTACCTTACTTGGGACCGGCAGATGGCGTAGTGATTATGTTGCTGGATTCCCACATAGTTGAACACATTTTGAGTCCTGGACCTGGTAGCTTAAAATTCATGCTGGACATGTGTACCTCTATGCCCAAAATATTGAGAGGAGGATGGGGAAGGGATTGCTACATGGCCATCCCCCCAGGGGGTGATTTCTTGCTTTCACTCTCTCTAGCGAGTACATGCCTATAGCAAAAATCTCTTAAAAAAAAATACTTAGTTTAATATTTATTTATTTATTTATCTTAATTTGACTAGAGAGGGAGAGAGAGATAAAGAGAGATGGAGGAAGAGGGAGAGAGCAAGGAAGTGAGAAAGTGAGCTGCCAGGTCTGGGACTAGAACCACAGTCAGTCATGTGGGAGTCCAGTGCCCTTAACTACTGTACCACCATTTGGCCCCCAGTTTTGTTTTAAAAAAGGAAAAGGCGAGATGAGCTAGGTGACTATGTAAGGTACCTTCCAAGGCAGTGATTTTACCTATAAAAATCATGATAAAAACAAGTAGTGTTAGAGAAAGATGAAACAATTGTTATAAATTTGTAAATACAGTATTAACTGAGAATAACATTAATGCACATTAATGTACAGCATAGTATGTCATACACCTAAATCTGTTTGCTGGTTACTGTATTAATGTTCTTAAATTACAAAAAAAAAAAGTGCTATATGGTTATCATTACACTAACATTTTCAAGCTCAGATGATTCACCAGGAGGGTAATAAAGCAGTTTCAGTTATAATTTTAGATAGTCAAAATAATCAAAGGTAACACTTACCTCCTGTTTCTGTATTATAATAATATTTATAACCATCCTCGCTTAAACCTTCTACCCAAACGGTCTTCATCCCTGTCTAATGTGAGAGAAAAAAACCAGCATAAACTGAAGATAATGGTGATGGTCATATTCTGAAAAACTAAGCCAGAGCCAGCCTCCCTTCCATCCCACTAGAGTTGGAACTTGGGAGTTAGGGACAGTGGTACTGAGCGTGGCCAGGAAGCTTAGTTTACTCATCATGAGCCAACTTTCAAGGAGAGAATGCTTCACCTCTGAAAGGAACAACTCTTTCCAGATGGAAAGGGACATGTGAATGGCAACTGACTGCAAAACAACTAATATTTGCCGTATACTGAGTTTTTGGATAAGATATCATTGTTTTGCCTTCAGATAAAAGGATTACAGGAAGAAAGGAAAAAAGTGTGCATGGGGGCGTATTTGGAAGTAAATCTGCTTAAATCCTACAAAAATCCCAGAAGCCAGTAACTATAAAGAATAAAACAAAAAACTATCAATGTGCTTCAGTTACCTTTAAGTTTCCTTGAAATCCTTCAGGTTTCTCCCACTGAGATGCTTAAAGCAAAATATATTGATTTATAAAACTCTTGCTTTAAAAAAAACCCAAAACTTTCCAAAATATTTGGCAAAAAATGTACAAGACATTCATTGTGTACACAACACTATAGGTATACAATTTAAAACATAATTAAATAAAAAAGAACCAACATATACCCCAGTAGTATTGTACAAAAGATTACATATGAGCACTACATAACAAGAAAGAACAGAATGGAAGATCAAAAAAAATTTTCATTTTTTGGAGAGGTTTTTGCTGTAGGGCACATGTACTCACCAGAAAGACAGAGACAGGGAGACAGAAAGCGAGAAATCACCCCCCGGGGGGATGGCCACATCGCAATCCCTTCTCCTCCATTCTCCTCTTGGGATCTTGGGTATGCACGCACATGCGCCCGTTTTGAGTTAAAGCCAACGAGTCCAGGACTTGAACCGCAGTGGACTACATGGGAGTCCAGCGATATAACCATTATGCCAACTGCTGGCCCTCAGAATGAAAGATCAAAAATTACTGGAACTTCCACAGGAATTATTAGAGCCACGTAAAAGGCTTTCTTTTAAAGACCTCATAGAACTCAGGCTTGATGTACTTTTGAGTGCAAGAATATATAAAGTATATATTGAACAATAGATCCAGCAATTAGCACAAGATGGGAAAAACGAAATAGCTGATAATTTCTTTTTTTTTTTTTTAAAGAATTATTCAATTTATTTATTATTATTTTAAGTTTGCTGTAGGCATGTGAGCACTGTGCCAGGCATTGCGTTAGGTGCTAAGGTATAAATGGTAAGACATCATTCTTGAAATGCTCATCTTAATGATCAGCTCAAAAGTAATTCCTATAACTACTCTCTGATCCACATATCACAATTCCTCATTTTTGAGCTTTTAAAATCCCTCCTTGTACAGGCCAGCAGGTGGTGTGGTGGTGAAGGTGCTGGACTTCCACACGGTCAACCAGTTTGAGTCTGGACCCTGTAGCTTGAAAATCATGCCAGGCATGTGCGGATGTGTGCTGGCCTAAAATCCTGAGAGGAGAATGGAAGAGAAGGAACTGTGGTGTGTGGGGTAATTTCTCACTTTACCCCTCTCTCTCTCCTGCAAGTGCATATGCCCTGTGGCAAAAACCTAAAAACCAAAACCAAACTAAACCAAAACAAAAAATAAAACCAAATTTCTGGAAAGTAAAATGATACATAAATATAGAATAAAAACATTCATTTATACCAGAATTTATACAGAGTAAAAATCCCAAATTTATTTAGCTTTTAAGGAGAAAAAGACGCTTTTGATGTTCTTACTAAAAAAATAACACTGTGGGGAGCAGCAGGTGATAGGGTGGTTAGGGGTGCTGGACTCCTACATAGCTGACCATGGTTCAAGTACTGGACCTGGTGGCTTGCTTGCTTTCTCATTTTCCTCTCACTGTCTTGCTCTGTCCCTCTCTGGTCAAATTAAGTTTTTTTTTTAAAAAGCTAAATACAGTAATTTAAAAAATAATAACAACATTGTGTATTTATGTTATTAGAAACTGATACCTCTAACATTAAGATGAAAAGAATACTTTGCTAGGTCAATAAATATAGCTTATTGAAAACAAACCAAAAAAACCAATATGGACCAGTGGATAGTGTGGTGGTTAAGGCTGCTGGATCCCACATCACCAATTGCATGGTTTGAGTCTTGAATTTGGCAGCTTGAAAAACACACTAGGCACGTGTATATGTGCGCCCCAAATTCTGAGAGGCAAATGGAGGAGAATGGACTCTAAGGAAGCTATTGCCCTGGGGGGTGCTTCACTCTTCTCTTCCCCCTGCAACCTCTGAAAGCATGTGCCCTATGGTAAATTAAAAATCAAAACCAAACCAAACCAAGTTTCTGGTTCCTGGATTACTTTCAGATAGAAAGTCTTTTCCATAGAATATTTTATTTTAAAGCCCCCTATAATTTGTCAAGTGGATATGAAATGCCTTCTTTCTTATTTTTTTGGAAAGGTTTTTGCTACAGGGTGCAAGTGCTCACCAGAAAGATGAGAGAGACAGAAAGCGAGAAATCAGGGGGGATAGCCATGCCACAATCCCTTCTCCTCCATTCTCCTCTTGGGATCTTGGGCATGCACGCACATACGCTCAGTGTGAGTTCAAACCACCAGGTTGGGACTCAAATCGCAGTTGACTACATGGGAATTCAGTGACATAGCCGTTACGCTAACTGCTGGTCCCAAAATGCCTTATTTATATGTACAGTATTTTCAGAGGTTTTATTGAGAAAATCTAAAGTTATTATTTATTTGTAAGGAACCCTTTATTAAGGTTTTGACTGCCAATGACACGGAATCACTATGAGAAAAGTATTACTTCTTGAACAAGCACATAATTGTTTCACCTTCGTGGCAAAAATTAAAAATTAGTCTCATTGTTTAAAATGTTCCAGTATTAAATAAAAATTCTAACAAAAAAGAAGTGTTACATTCCACTAACAGAACTCTTTTCTACTAGATCTACACCTAGATGACTTACCTCCTGTGGTAAGATTGTAATAGTAATGATGACCCTCAGAGGTTACACCTTCTAGCCAACTGCCCTTTGAAGGATCTTTTTCTTTTTTTCGTTTTTTCTTTTCTTTTTGTTGTTTTGGTGCAGGCGTGGGTGGGACAGTGCTGGTTACTGGTGGTATGCTTGGTTCTGAAATTTCTAGAGACGACAGAAGCACAAAGTAGCAAAAAGTTATTTATTTTTTAAAGAATTATTTTATTGAACTTTATTCATTCTATTTATTTATTTTAAGGGACAGAGTAAGAGAGAGAGGGAGATGGGAAGGGAGAAAGCAAGCTGTGAGAGAGAGAGAGAGAGAGAAAGCAAACTGCCAGGTCTGGGACTCGAACTGCAGTTGGGCATGCAGGAGTCCAGCACTCTTAAACACCATGCCACCTGCTGGCCCTCTTTTTTATTTTTTTTAAACTAACATAAATGATGTTGTTATAATTAAAAGCCTCACAAGAATCTTTTGGGAACTTGGTAATACTACTATGAAGTTCATTTGTAAAAATAAACATGTAAGAATATGCAGGAAATATATTTAAGGAAAACTTAGTCCTATCAGGTATTAAAATTTATTCTAAAATGATTGTAAAAAAAAAACAATCCAGCAGTATGGAACTAATGCAGAGGAGACAAACATATAAAGCCACTGCGGATTTCCACTGTTTCTTCTTAGAGGAAAAAGATCTGATCAGGTTTTAGTCTTATCTATCAGGCATTTATATTGGTAAATGAAAAAAATGTGTAGTTCTTATAGCTGTACTTTTTCCCTAAGGACTAGACATTCCCAATACCAGTTAATAAATTCATTCCTAGTAAAAGTATAAACCAGCCCCACATTTCTGGAGACTGCCTGATATTAGCTTTCAGTATATAAAATATATTCACACTTTAAAACGCAGTCTTGGGAACCAGCAGTTAGCATAATGGCTATGTCGCTGGACTCCCACGTAGTCGACCGTGGTTCGCGTCCCGGACCTGGTGGCTTGAAACTCACGCCGGGCGCGTGTGCGTGCATGCCCAAGATCAAATTGATATCTTCTGATGGTCATGAATTTATCGTCAAAAGAGAGCATGCACTAACATCAGGAACAATAAAAGGCATATTGAGTGGCCCAGGTCAGTCTGCTGAGAATGAAAACAATGAGGTCAATTTTAGAGAGATCCCTTCATATGTGTTATCAAAAGTGTGCATGTACTGGGAGCAGCAGTTAGCATAATGGCTATGTTGCTAGACTCCCACTTAGCCGACCACGGTTCGAGTCCTAGACCCGGTGGCTTAAAACTCACGCCGGCGCGTGTGTGTGCATGCCCAAGATCCCGAGAGGAGAATGGAGGAGAAGGGATTGTGGCGTGACCATCCCCCCTGGGGGGTGATTTCTCGCTTTCTGTCTCTCTGTCTCTCTCTGTCTGTCTGGCAAGCGCACACGCCCTATAGTGAAAACCTCTCCAGAAAAAAAAAGAAGATATCAATTTGACATATATGCCATCAGGGCCTTCACAGCCACCTTAAGTTTTCTCCTCTCCATCCGTTCTGTTCTTAGAAACTTTTACTTTGCTTCCACAGGAACTTTAGTAGTTTCTCATCAGCCCTGTAGCCACCACAGCAGAGTCCCTGTGTATTGCCACAGCCCCTAATCCAGGGCTACCCCCTACCCCAGTTCTATAACTGTTCTTAATTAATGAAGGCAATGGTAATTAACTTCACAGATATATTGCTTCAAACCTTAATTAAAAGCTGTTTTTATTAGAGTAAGGAATACCACTCTACATTGACTATCCCAATCACTATCAACAACTGAGATGTTATGTTTGGCTTAAGGACAATGAATTTGCCATGGAAGTAATGATCATAGATGTTTTCCAGTAAAAGCTTAAATGTGATAACTAGACAGATACATTCTAGTTAAATAATGCCATTTACCCAGAACTTCATTACTCTCAAACCATCAAAATATCTGCCTTGCAGTAGTGAAGTCCATGATTTGTCCACAAAGGCTCATCTGCTATACATTTAACCACCTAAATAAATGTTATTCATAGTTTTGAATATATGGGTAAGTGAGCTACAGTTATAATGCAAAACCATTTTTTAAAGAGTCATTTTTAAAAATTTTATTTATTGTATTATTATTATTTCAATTTGACTAGCAAGAGAGGGAAAGTAAGAAAGCAAACCACCAGCTCCAGCACTCGAACCACGATCAGTCATGTGGGAGTCCTTAATCACCATGCCACCTGCTGCCCCACAAGGCTTATTTTTTAATGGACAGTGTCTTTTAGCCAAATAATTAAACTATCTAAAAAACTCAATGTGTCTCTGAAATGAACGACTCACCAAGGACAGGGCTACAACTAGGTCATCGCAAAGGTAGTATGGCTACTATAAACAGATAAGGCATTAAAAGCAAAACAAGAGTGCATGCATAGAGTCCCATAGTCTAAACAGGGCTGTGATGCACATTCAAAGCACTGACAGCATAACCTGAGTGTATAACCTCTTTATGGAAACAATCAAAGCTCCCTTAAGCATGACCTCTGATGTTACTTTTAAAACATGCTGGCTGCTTATTTACCTGACTTCAAGCCAAGCCTTTTCAAATCCTCTTGGTATGCTTTAAGGGCAGCTGCTTCCATTGCAGCAAACTCCTTTGATGCCTTTTCTTCTTCTTTTGCTTTATCCAGGCTTTTCTGTTTAATCTATGTGAGACAAATATACAAGTCAAAGTGAGATAAAGGATGGACACTTAATAGAAAAACTGCTGAGGAAACAATCTGAATTACCTCACTGATCCTTTTTGCCACATTTTCCTTATGATTTTTTCCTCTTTCATGAAATTCAACACTCTTGAAGAGAAAATACAAAAGAAAACAACATAAATACAAAATACATAGTAAAAAGGAGAGTAAAAATTGGAATTGAAAATAAAATGGAAATGCAAATGAATGGCAGAAAAGATTTTATCAATGCTAGATAACTAAACCACTGTATTTATTATTATTCCCTCTGACTAGGTTTCCTTTGGTTCTTAAAATAAACTGTGATGACTGTACTAATGGAGAAAAATACAAAGTACCCTTGATGACTAATCTAGTGAATATGATTGTAATGAGGACTCAATAAGACATGAAGCCAAAAGAGGAGTGGAAAAAAAATCTTAAGAAACAGCTCTTCACATCTAATGTCAAAATGAGTAAGTCTCTAGAATTTTATTGCTTTATTTGCCGCATTAAGCAACATACAGAACAATGATTCCTAGAGCCTTATTCCTCAAGACTGGGACAAAAATAGACATTTAAAAATGTTCATAAACTGTAAACAAATACCTTTCTATGGTGTGCTACTGGCCCAAAATGTAAAACTCCAACACCTACAGAAGACGATTTGTCAATGTTTATTGAAATTACATGAACATTTATCCTTTGACTCAGCAATCCCATTTCTGGAAGTTTATTATATAGATATATCTGCATATGTACAAAACAGTATTATATACGAGGTTATTCACTGTAGCACTGTTTATAAAAAGGTGGCCATCTACAGGGGACTAGTTAAACTATGATACATTCCCTTAAGCTGCTATTACAGAGAACAAAGCAGCTCTTTATGTGTTGATATAGCAAAGGCATCAAAATATTTTATTTTGTTCAATTTTTAAAAACCTATGGTGTAAAAGTATATATATTACCTTTATGTATGCTAAAATAAGAACCTATGCCTGTATACTTGTGTGAGCAATGGAAGAATAGAAAAGATGAAGAAATGGTAGCCTTTGGAGAGTTGCTGGGTGGGGACAGGGGTGGGTAAGTGAACATTATTACATATTTAGACAACCAGAAATGCTCCCTGAATCCAACTGTCTAGTTGTATGCAGTAGGAAATTCTTGGTAAGTTCTACAAAATAAGTTCTGTCAACTGAATAATAAAATAATGCTGGGGCCAGCAGGTGGTGTAGTGGTTAAGGAATGGACTCCCACATGGCTGACCATGGGTTGAATCCCAGGCCTGGCTGCTTGCTTTCTCACTTTCCCTCTCTCTCTCATATGCTGTGTCTTTCTGATGAATTAAAAAGTAATACAAATTTTTAAAAATTAAATAAACAACTCTTAAAAAATAATAATGCTACTAACTGAGCTCCTCTAAAATGCTGCTATGAATAACTCTTTAAAGCGTGGCTTTGTAAAGCAAATACTCATTATTTCTTTTTGATATATTAGGTCTCCTAAAGCTGATTACACCACACAAAGAATATAATACTAAAAGACCATCCAAAATTAAATAAATTGTGCTGCTGATTAAAGGCTAAATCAATATTAGCAACTCAAGGAAAATAAAGACAGACTACAATGAAAGGGATTATTTACTCCAAATAACTCATAAAATCCATTTTACTGCCTGGGTTTCTCCAAGAGAGAGACTTTCAGTAATTTGTTTGATTTTAAAAATTCATGGCACTTGGGACCAGCAGATAGTGAAGTGGTTAGGTTGCTGGACTCCCACATAGTTGATTTGAGTCCCGGACCCAGATGCTTAAAACTTACACCAAGCTCATGTGCATGCATGCCCAAAATCTCTAGAGGAGAATGGAGGAGAAGGGATTGCAGTATGGCCATCCCCCCCAACCCCAGGTGGAGTGATTTCTCATTTTCTATCTCTCTGTTAAGCACACATGTCCTATAGCAAAAATCTCTTTTAAAAAAAAAGAAATTCATGGCATTTATTTGTAAGGATGGCCTAAGTCAAACAAGGTAGTAAAAACTATGTCAACTACTATAAAAGACCAAAACAGAAAAACAAAAACAAAACCACCTCACAGATAATACCAAATAAATGTCTACCAAAGAAATGCAGCATTGTTAAAGATAGGACTAATACTTTTGTGTAGCCAATTCTGTCATCCAAAAGAAACATAAATATCTATTTACCAGTTAATCCAGTGTTTATGTAATACACACAGTACACGCACAAGGGAAGTAACTTAGTGGTGTGCTTTCGGCTTTATGTCTTAAAAGTAGATCCAGACTATGGGTTACAACAATAATGAACTTAACAGGGTTTCTATATTTATATTTCACGATAGAAAATATGACATTCTTTTAAATTTAAGTACCTAAAGATACAAACTTTGCATCAAATATATTATCTTATATATATTATCAAATATATTAGCAGAAAATATAAAAAGAAAACTACGATCATTATTTTACACACACACACACACACACACACACACACACACACACGGAGAGGCTTGTGTTATAGAGCGCGTGCGCTCAAGACATAGAGACAGAAAGCCAGAAATCGCCCCCCAGGAGGGATGGACATGCCACAGTCCCTTCTCCTCCATTCTCTTCTTGAGATGTTGGGCATGCATGCACATGTGCTCGGTAAGAGTTTAAGCCACGAGGTCTGGGACTTGAACCTCAGTTGACTACACGCGAGTCCAGCAACATAGCCATTACCATTACACCAACTACTGGTCCCTATATTTTCTTTTTTAAAGAGATTTTTGCTATACGGCACGTGCACTCACTGGAGAGATAGACATAAAGTGAGAAATCATCCCTTAGGGAAGGTGGCCAAGCTACAATCCCTCCTCCTCCATTCTCAAGATCTTTGGCACATGTGCATACGTGCCTGGCATGTTTTAAGCCACCAGCTCCAGTATCGAACCAAGGTCAACTACATAGGAGTCCAGTAACGTAACCATTATGCCATCTGCTGGTCCCGTTTTTTATTTTAAGGGCTTTCTCCTATTGCTTCATTTCAAGGATGGCTGTATTACTAACACACTACCATCATTATTATTATTTTTTTTTTTAGAGCTTTTTGCTATAGGGCATGTGCACTCGCCAGAAAGAGACAGACAGACAGAAAGGGAGAAATTGCCCCCCGGGCGGGATGGCCACGCTGCAATCCCTTCTCCTCCATTCTCTTCTCAGGATCCTGGGCACACATGTACACGTAGTCCCCACGTGAGTTTAAGCCAGTAGGTCCAGGACTCGAATCGTGGTGCACTATATAGGGTCCAGAGATATAGCCATTATGCCAACTGCTGGTCCCAACACAACACTATTATAATGTAGGTGTTTCAAAAACATGAATGAGGGTTGGCCTATGGCACAGTGGTGCTGTTCAAACAAAGGTGGATTCCACATGGTGATCATGGTGTGAATCTCCAGCCTGGTCTACCTGAATTACCCCAGACATGCACCAGAGTGCTCAGGACAGGAGAGGGCTGAAGGATTGGAAGAGGGAAGAGAAATATGAACAGACTCTATGGTTGGTGCTCCTCTCTCACAAATGTGACCAAGTGTACTTCATTGTAAATAAAGGAAAAGATATTCTTGGAGGAGGAAAAAAAAGGATGAAATTACCCACTCATTGTTCATTCCCAGAAATGCCAAAGAGAAATAATTTGGCTTAATATATATAATGAAAAGGAAGAAGACTGAGTTTTCATAAAAAGTAAGAAAAATCATTTACAGTTTTTGAAAAATCAGGGGCAACTGTACATGAAAGTGCTTTGTAATCTCTAATAACAGAAACACTTCACACGAACTCATTATTATTCATTATTATACTAATAGAATTATCATACAGGCCTATTGTCGGCTATCCAGCACTTGCAGTAATCACAGAATTTCTTTGGTTGTGATTTCCAGTAGTCTGCCCTGAAAAAAGAAAAAAAAAAGTCAAGACGGGAAAAACAAGTCTGAGCTTATTTAAAATTATAAACGGTAAAATTCTGCATGCTTTACATGCTTTTCAACCGTTTGAAATACAAGTCTCTGCGATAGAATCTTGTCTTGTTATATATAGCTCCCTGTTTTATTGTCTGGCTGAAGCAGTCCATTGAAATTCTGTTGCCAGTAGAACAGAAAATGTGTGCATCAGATTTATTATAAAACCTCCGTAAATAAAGCAGCTGTTAAAAATTCCTCATTTGTTATTGTCATCGGGCTGAGAAAAGGAACATCTCAGATTAGGATATTCTTTCTCATTTCTGGCTTTGTAGGAGGTTGTTGTAATGTAGGCCTGGGGAAACTGATGAAGTTTTGCCTTAAATCGAGGTATTTGAACTAAAAGAAAAAAAGCACAAGACCACTTTCGGGGAAGGTTGCGGTTCCTTCTAGACTATCAGTTAATGTAATTTATTCCAGAGCCTCGAGGAGTTAGAAAAGCCAAAGAACCCCTGGAAAGGTAAACAAACAAAAAGAAAGAAAGAAAAAAGAAAAAAATGAGGCCGTGAGCACGCAATCCACTTCCAGGGAGCGAGGGAGACAGCGGTGACCGCAGCCCAAACCCGAAGTTTCAAAATTCCCCAGGGTTCACGCGCTGGAGACCTGAAAAGGGCGTGGCGACCCCCGACAGCTCCGGAAGGGGCCCGGCGCCTCGTCACCTGCCGCGGTCCTCCACACGCCCCGACTGGCCGCTTTTCTCCCACTACAGGGCCAGGAGTCCACGCCCGCAGGGCGCCTGAGGGGCAGCATTTCTGTCCAGCCCCAGGAACCAGCCCAGCAGGTCCGGAGCGGGTCCCGAGCGAGTTCAGAGCGCGTCCGCCACGCCCCCGACCGGGGGCGGGAGGAGGTGGAGAGGAAGACCCCGGAGGCAGGGCCGCCCGGAGAAACAACATCTCGTTGTTCAGGGCCCGAGACCCAACTCACATGACTGCGCCAGAAGCTCCGCGTGTCGCCCGGGGTCCAGGTCGGATTCCCGCTTTAAAGCGGGGTGAGGCGGGCCCGGCAGGCCCACCCAAGCCTCTCTCCGAGCCTGGACACCTCCCACGTCCCTCCTTTCCCCGGAACGGCGTTACACGGTTCTCAAC